TCGAAGGGTAAGTTCCATGCTCGTTGAGCATTGACTGTTTGGAAAATAGTTTTTGAAAATTTTTACTGAGGTTGACAATTTTCTCGAAAACTATACATTTGGCATGTATTCTCTCCTTTAGCCACTTAACATGTTGTTGCATGTTTGTGCATTGCCCATGTTCATGCTTGCATGCTAGTTTGCATGATTAGAGTTGCATTGCGTTGGCACGCATGCTCTACCTTTTGACCAATTCATGATAGAGGTAGAAGCCTCTTGGTTTGTTGGTTTGCATTGGATTTGACATCAAAATGTGCACGCTTGGTCTTTTGGGCCATCATGCATTGAAATGCGCGATTGGTGGTCCGAGAACCAAGAAGCATGTCCCTTTGACTCACTCACATGATAAGGAACATGATTGGTGCATATATGGCTTGAATTGCATTGCCATGCAAAGTCCTGTTCTCTGCTGCTGTCAAACAGGTTCTGCAGGCATTCTCTGCCGATCGACTTCATAGAGTACCGACCGGCAATAAGTATGCAGCCGATGGATTCATTGTGTGCCGGTGATCATATGTCACTGCCGGTAGCCATTCTATTCAGCCGGTGGCACTCCTCAATCTCCAGGGAAGCAATCCTAAGACTTTGGCAGTCTTCAAAAAGGCAGAGCAGGGAAAACAGAGGCAGCTTGCGCATGGTAGTGTACTTCCGAGCAGGACCGAGCATGCATTGCATCGAGCTCTCTTCCCGAGGCGGTTTACTATTTTTCCTAGCTTAGTTAGTTTGTTAACTAATTAGGTAATTTGTAATAATTAATTAGCTAGGATAGTTAATTCATTATTCGATTTGTATTATTCTTTCGGTCCCTCCGGGCGAGGGCGAATTTGTAAGAAGTGTGGGTGAGTATGTGTGCATGTCTTCCAACCCCCACTTCTTTCTCCCTTTTACTTACCTGCTTTGACGGTTAGTAATAGGTCATGTTTAAATTACCATACCTTATGCAATGCATGCGTGCATCCATACATTTGTCTTGCACGCACCGGGCTCGGTACATCATGCTAACTGCATTTGTACTTCAATTCCAAATTGAATACGTGCATCAATTGACTGCATTTCACATGCCATGCTTAGGTTAGTCGAGCCTGTTTGGATTGCATCTTTACATGTGTTACATTAGCCATTTCAGATATGAACTAGGATCATGCATGTGATTACTAACTAGTTCCTGTCTTGGCTTGGAGTACTCTGTAAGTTCTTTAGCTTTAGCATCTCGCATGAGTGTGAATGCCATCATGACAGCATGCTTACCATGTGGCAAGATGCTTATGTAATAAACTATTTGAATGCCTGTGGGTGAAGGTTGGATTGTCTGTGTTGGAAAAACTCGTTGAAATCCGTATTTTAACCTACTTGCGAGTAGCAAATTCCAAAATGTTTTTCAAGACAAACGGATATGCAATGCTTATTTCCAAATTAGGCGATCTAGTCTGTACTTGTATGCTGTGCGCATAACATAGTAATTCTAGGCTAATAAATGGAATAAGAACACATGACGTTTTGATAACTGGATATCACGGTTAGTAGAGGCCGGTCTTCAGACCGGGCGAGAGGGGGTGCTCATAGCTGACCTTCCCCGATCGTACCCAAGTTCCCGAGCCGAGGCAACTTTGGTGATGACGGACACGTGGCCTTCGGCACCGAGTCAGGGTTCACTACAACAAAAATAGTCTTTAGAGACGAAAACTAATGACGAAATTTTTTTGTCACGATAAACGTATCTTTTAATGACAAAAATCATATTTCGTCTCTAAATGTATCATTTTTGGAGACAAAAATAAAATTTCGTCACCAATCTATATCATAATAAAAAAATTAGGTGACGAAATTATTTTTCGTCATTATTTATAATTTTTTTTGTCACCAAATATTTTCCCGCTAATATTTTCGGGGGTGCCAAACTTTTGAGACTTTTAGTGACGAAAAAATTAGTCACTAATTATAAAATTATTAATGACGAATATATTTTTGTCACCAATAATTTTTAATATTTTAATATTATTTAGTGACAAAACGATTTTTGTGGCCAATATTTCTATCTTTGGTGAAGAAATAATTTTGTCACTAATAAATAATTTAGTTACTAAATATTTAGGGGGGAAAAAAAATGTTTTGGCGCCTCAAACACCCACAATGATTTATCGGTTCAAACCTATTTCACACACACACACACACACACACACACACACACAGAGGCGACGCCGCTGCTCACTCTCCTCATCGATTCAGACACAGATTCATCGCCGATCGGCTCACTCTGCTCACCGCCGTCACCCTCTCCTCACCGCCGCTGATCTGTTAGCTTCTCCTCTCCTCACCGCCCCTCGCTGCTGTGCCGATCTAGCCTCTCCTTCCCTTGCCGATCTCATCTCCTCTTCTCACTGCCGCTGATCTGTTAGTCTCTCTCTCTCTCGTTGCTCTTTTCTCTCGATGCTCTCTCTTTCTCTCTTTTCTTTTGCTACTCTGTGTTCTGTATACATTATATTGTTATACATATAATATATATATATATATGTATCCTGCTCTAAGATGTGGCATGTTTTCTTTTCTAGTGCGAAATTATAGCTTAATGGGGAAGAAAGGAAAGGTTCCTAAATACTTGACCATTGTCTTGGTAAAGTAATCAGTAATGATCAGGGTTGGTTGTGTGCTGATTATGATTTGTGAAATGCTTTTGCTCTTATGGCTAGAGTGGGTAAAGAATTGGGGGTTTGGTTTCTGCCTTTGCAGAGACCTCGAGGTCTCTATTTTATTTCAATAACTAGAGCAGTGAGAATGAGCCAAAACAGCAAAAGGATCACCAAGAATAAATTTTTACTCATATTGGCAATTAAACAAACAATCTGCCTTGCAGCTTACTGACCCTTGAAGCATAAAACTTCAACACTAGTCAAGTTTCTTCCATCCAGCTTACTCTCCCAGAAAATGTTTCCATGCCCTTATATCATTGGCTTACTCAAAATTTTAAGACAATTGACATTTTTCTTCAGATGATTGCAAGTTTACTATTTCACGAGCATTCACAACCAAAATTATAGTTGGAGTAGAACTTCTTACTCTTACACTCCAGAACAGGATTTTGTGGTACACCAATTATTTTATAAAATCCACAATGAGTTGCGTGTTTCTTTCATTCTCATCATGCTCACCAAATTCCAATTTGATTGGAGATTGAGAGATATCTCATCCATATAAAACTCCAAATTATAGCCATGAAATGTTAGGAAGTAGAAAAGACCATATGGATTGTGTGGCCACTAATTACTGATTAACAAACATGATGTGAAAAACAAGGACCAAATACATCAACATAAGTTTGACAAATGTGGGCTCCACAGAGAAGTTACTGAGGAATGTAAGAATATGAAGCTTAAAACAATATGTAATTTGATCCTGCCTCAGCAGAAATATTTTACATCCATGCATATATATAAAATACAATATACTATTATAGGGCATTTCAAGGCCAATGAAATTATCCATAAGCCAATTCCATTCTACTTAATTCTGAGACTGTTAAGCCAAATACTTAATGTCGATGACTTTAGAGGCATTTAGACACAATATATATTACATGACAGGGCCAAAAACATTCTCAAAAAGACATATACAAGTTCTTTCGATAATAAGTTTTATGTATGTAATGATGCATTTGATATAGAAAACCAAAGATAATATACAAAGTATTTCAATAATTCTGTAAATGAATGAATTACGTGTCTCCCATGATTATATGTCTGTCATATTTTCAGCTTCATAAATTCAAATTGCTGGTATGTGAGAGAACAAAACACTTATTAGTACTAACAGCAACAAGGGAGTCATTCGTAGCAAGAAAAGAAGGGGACAAATAACAATCCACCAATTTAAAAAATTGAAATGCATAAATATCTACATAAGCAGAAGAAAAAACCGTACACATAGCAAGGAACATATCTTCACATTTAAGTAAATTGCATAAATATTTCAAAATTGACACAACAAATTAGAAAAGGAGAGAGGTTTTCATACATGGTAAGTAACTGAGCTACATTAGTATGCTGCTTTACTAATCTACAAAAAAACATCTACAGTCATATTCAAGGCCGTTTCTTTTGCCTGCATGGACCCAAAAAAAACACCATTAACTGTAAGAATTTCAAAACCTAATAAAAAAAAAATCTAAAAAATAATACTTTTATAAAGTAGATTGTATACCCAAAAAGCTAAAAAATAATACTTTTATAAAGTAAATTGTATACCCAAAAAAAAAAAAAAACTAGAAAGCAAAGCAAAATAATCACAGCTTACCTGTTCAGAACTTGACGAACGGAACTCTTCCCAATGTCTCTTGAAGTCCAATTCCAATTCAATTTTATCTCTGCAGTCCGAAAACAGAAAACGAATAAGGATCGTATACAAGTGAAGAATAGCATGTCTGAACAGGAAAAACTTTGATTTGTCTAAGGATATGATATGTAAATCCAGAGATGTGCCAGTGATGTTAAAATTCCTCAATAGGCCATCATCACCACAAGCATCAAAGCATTTGGGCAAACATAGTGAAACTGTCCATCCAGGAATTAGAAAATCAAATGTAATATATGATTAATGCAAGACATAATTATGTTAAGCATCAATGATCATCAATCCTAATTGGATTTAAAATATATGCAATACAGGAACATCACCTCTTTTAAGAAGAGGATCTCTTGTCTTGATTTTTTTTCCATGGAAACCTTCACTACTCTACAATATGATTTAAAATTTTTGCGTGAAATATTAATTCAAGGGATTGGAACTTCCTTGTTATGAAATATTTGGAGTTAAAATATATGCATTACAATTCGAAACATTGGGATTATGTTTGGGATTATGTTTTTCTTCTTTTATTTAATGGTGAATAATTATATTATCTATATTTTCCAATTAAAGTTGAATTATGTTATATAGTTGTAGAAAATGGTCAAAGGAAAAAGACAATGGCTAAAACCAGGTGATTTGAGAACTAAGAAGCTAACAGAATATGAGAAACAAAGAAATAAGCGAATCAAGAAGAACTATGAGGTAATGAACAATCTTGGAGTAAAGAATATTACAAATTCTTTGATGAGTGTGGTTCAGCCCAAATGTGCAAATGCAAAGGAAAAGGGAATTAGGGTTGAGGTAGATGATGATGATGAGTATAATCCGTCAGAGAGTGAGAACGATAGTGATAATGAGTCATTGGGTTCCTTTTATCGCAAGGTATTATATACATTATTTTATATTTGTGTGTGAACATATCATTTACTATTTAAATATCTTCTTCATATATCTTAAACATCATATCTTTTTTAAAATATATTTTAACTGTGTTAAATATCTTCTTTACTATTCGATTATGTTATTTCAGGAACAAGAGATGCCACCGGGGTTACGTTTACAGCCTCATTCGAGGCCATTAACTCCCACCCCAGAAGAAGGGATGGATCCCCCACGTCAAGAGATTGGTACCCAACCCTAACCACCTCATAATGTGCAACCTGTGCATGAGGTGACTGCATCTAGTAGTGTTGGTAAGTTTGCAAAGTTGTTTATATTCAATTTAAGGTCTAACTTGCATTTGTTTACTTATTAACTCAATTAACATTATGTCCTTACAGCATCACATGACAGACGTGGTCGTGGTCCAACACGCGGCATACAAACCCAACGCATTGTCCAGAAAAATGGAAAGATGTTGGTTCCTGTACCTGAACATTTCCGTGCGCCAGTGGGAGATCAAGCCTCTAAGTTGGCCTCCAAGATTGGCATAGAGGTTCGAACGCAATTACCAGACTTGAGCATTTGTAGGTGGAATAAGGTTCACGATGCTGATAAGAAGCCGATGATCCAACGCTTGGAGGTAATTATTGTCAAGTAAAAGAGGCATGACACATGAAAATTGAAATTGAAATTACATGGTAATTATTGAACAATCCATGCATGTTTTAGACTATGGATTTAACAATATTCTTGGCCAAATGCAAAATAGAAGAGATTGAAGAGAACTAGTAGTTAAATAAAGAGTGACACAATTGCATGGTATAGTTTTGACTTTTGTGATTGGGTCATTCTTTTCTTCTCTCCATTACATAGCTGGCTTTAATGCAACTAAATAATGGACCTAACACACTATCTCCATCAGTGGGACTTAGAATTGACACACTTTGATGTTATACTGTTGTCAAAACGTGTAAGAGAGTTTAATTAATGAGAAACAAACAAGGAGGTAATAGCTAAAGCCATATGGAATATCAGATCAATCATTTCAAAAACATTTGAACCCCATTCATCAAACATCTTTGCCCACCAAACATAACCCACTTCACCACTAGTCCTCTTGCTATGATGGATCTCTCTCTTTAAACATCAATACTGTATATATAGAGAGAAAAGGTCTTAATAATGATTATTTTAAGAATTATCAATAAAAAATATAAATTGTCAAAATAATTTATAATTTTATTAAACTTTTTATGTATATCAAAATATTTTTGTATTTTTACAAATTTTTGTATATATTTTATAACATTAACAACAGTTTTAAGAGTTATTTTTTATGTTTTTAAGAGCACTAATAACTCACCCAAAGGACATAATATACATCACATATACAAGAAGTTAGTAGTCTTGGGACATATTCAGGTGGTGTCCAAAAATATTATGATTTGTGAAGTGAGTGGGGCTCATAACTTTATATAGCTTCCATATTCTTCATTCAAATATTATGTTTGGGATTATGTTTTTCTTCTTTTATTTAATGGTGAATAATTATATTGTCTATATTTTCCAATTAAAGTTGAATTATGTTATATAGTTGTAGAAAATGGTCAAAGGAAAAAGACAATGGCTGAAACCAGGTGATTTGAGAACTAAGAAGCTAACAGAATATGAGAAACAAAGAAATAAGCGAATCAAGAAGAACTATGAGGTAATGAACAATCTTGGAGTGAAGCATATTACAAATTCTTTGATGAGTGTGGTTCAGCCCAAATGTGCAAATGCAAAGGAAAAGAAAATTAGGGTTGAGGTAGATGATGATGATGAGTATAATCCGTCAGAGAGTGAGAACGATAGTGATAACGAGTCATTGGGTTCCTTTTATCGCAAGGTATTATATACATTATTTTATATTTGTGTGTGAACATATCATTTACTATTTAAATATCTTCTTCATATATCTTAAACATCATATCTTTTTTAAAATATATTTTAACTGTGTTAAATATCTTCTTTACTATTCGATTATGTTATTTCAGGAACAAGAGATGCCACCGGGGTTACGTTTACAGCCTCATTCGAGGCCATTAACTCCCACCCCAGAAGAAGGGATGGATCCCCCACGTCAAGAGATTGGTACCCAACCCTTACCACCTCATAATGTGCAACCTGTGCATGAGGTGACTGCATCTAGTAGTGTTGTTAAACCTGAAACAAACCTGCCCAACACATCCTCTAATTCCAAATGAGAAAAAAAAAAGGACAACAACAACAATTATAAAATGACAGAATCTACGGAACCTAAGTCCAAATACAATAATCAAATGGGAAAAGACCGGGGTCGCTATAACCTCCCCCCCTTCAAAGAATTTCGTCCCCGAAATTAAGCATAAGTT